CTGGTGCCTGGACCCTCTACTTTAAATTCTGGGGATAACTGAGCAATGAACAAGGCCTAGCTTGGCAGGCGAGGCTTGGAGAATTTGTTCTCTCCTCTTGCAGCCAGACAGGCAAGGCAGAACCCAAGCCTGTGTCCTGGGTGCCAAGACATGAAGACAAGCATTGTCTCCTTGTTCTCCTCCATTGCTGTCATCACCATCATCAGTGAGGGGAGAACAGCTGAAGGCTAGTGGCTGTCTTATTTGGGTTTCTCTTGGTGGGTAAATAGCATCCAGGTCCAGTAATAGGATGGAAACTCATAGAAAAGCTCAGAGGAGAGAAGGGATGGCTGGGCATTATATTTGCCAAGGGGCTGTCCAGTGCGTACAGGAAGGAGACATAGAGGGAGGCCAAAGTGCAGCCCGGATCATCCCCATCGGAGACGGAATGCCCATGTGGTTGGCCCAGAGGAGCAGTTCTCATATTTTATATTCTAAGCAACCTAACCAAAAGGTTGTCTGTCTCCAGTCCCACAAGATTTTGGAAAGATGATCCTCAAGACTGTTTGAATCCAGAGATTAAATAAACAAAACTGTACATTTGTGGCAACAGGGTAGTTAACAGGCGCTTACTATAGGCCAGAGGCTTTAAGTATCCGTATTATATTATGTAATCACCACAATAAACCAATGAAGGAGATATTTTAACCCCTCTTTACAGACCTGGAAGCTGGGGATCTGGAAAGTTCTTTGCCCAGGTTGCATGGGGGCTGCTGGAGGATTGGAGTCCATGGTTCTGCCAAGCCCATGCCGCCCCACCTACAGCCAGCCCCCGAGCAGAGAGGCCTGGGAGTATGGACACTCAAAGGCATTAATTCATCATCTTTTAGGACCCAGAGACCCCTTTGAGAATGTAAATTAACTTCCCCCTTAGACAAATGCACAACCCACTCCAAAGAGAATTTCAGGGAGACCATGACCCCTTCACGCTCATGGTTGACGGTGGCTTATGGTCACCTGCTCCCCAGGGAGATTATTCCATCTAGGTCCAAAGAAATCATATTTAAACCTTGGTTCTCCTTGTCTTTGAACTGGAGTCTTAATCACCAGGTTGTGGCTGTCCTTGGCTCTAGTAATGGAAATCGATGAGTAGTCCAAAGCTCAGGCCTGCGTCCGACACTAAAAGATGATGCTGGGACCTTCTTATTGACCTAGTGGATTTTTATACAAAAAAATAAAGAACTCCAATTTATGTGTATATCCCATACAGAGTTCTCAAAAAGAAACAAAGAAAGAAAACCCTGATATATAATCTTTGCATAATAGACCAATTATAGATTTTCCAAATCTCAGTAATCGAGCTTTCAAAGCTTCTTTGGATAATTACATTTTCATTTGAATTCCATAACCCTCTAAAAGAAGGAGGAAAAGTTCCAAGGGAAATTATTTATTCTTATGAATATGATATAGTATAAATATGATATAGTATAAATAAAAATATAGTATACTTATGATAAAGTATAAAGTAGTCAAAAGCTGGGTTTATACACATTAACTGATTTTCATCTCCATTAACGTATGTTGAGCCCCTATTATTTGCCCAGCACATGCAAAATACTTTAGTACACATGATCCCATTTCATTGCTCACGCCCAGCAAGCCCTTGAGGGAGACAAGGCCATTATTATGACCTCCACGTCATGGAAGAGGAAACTGAGGTCCAGGGAGGCCCTGTGACCTGCCCCAGGTGAAACATGGGTGGGTAGTGGCAGAGCCAGGACCAAAGCTCTGGGTTCCAGACCAGCCCACGTGCCTGGACCTCAACCGATGTGTGAAGCAGTGTTTCACACGTCTGCTTGAGATTAGAACTTGCTGGATGTAATGCAAATACCAAGAAAGCAAGCCTGTGAGTACATGTAAGGATCACTTGTACGATGAATTAGGAAACTTTTGTCCTCCCTGACAAACAGGGCTCATTTGTGGGCCTCCTTGGCTGTGAAGCCCCCTGACCACCACCCCGTTTTCCCAGCAGAGGACCTCATACTCTGGAACCTGGGGTCACTTATCACACTGGATCGTGATCATCCGGTGTCATCTGCAGCGAGCCCTCCACAGGTAGTAAATTTCTGAATAAGAGTCAGGGACATCGGGGGCATCCGGTGAGGGATTGGACCAACATTCGTTGCCATGACAACAGCTTCTCGACTTGGCCTCTGACCAACTGTCTCAGCAGGTGAGCAAGCAGGAGGAAGCAAGGATGACTCAGGGTGTCCCTGCCTGGGGTGAAAGGAAGGATGACTCATCTATTGAGGCAAAGGAGGCAGGCAGGAGGCCCGCCTTGGATGTTGGGTATTTCTATCAAGGTCTTGTCTTCCCTGCCAGGCTGAGGGTTTCTGAAATGCAGGGATCACCTCTCAATTATCTCTCCATCCGCGGCGGAGCCTCACACAGTGCTAGGTAGTGTCCAGTGAATGGTGAGCGTGTATTGTCCAATTAATGCCAAGTCGTGTACTAGTGTTATCCACACGGTTTTTCAAACTGCTCGTCATGACCCGTGAGTGGGTCATGAAATCATTTCTGGTGCAGCAGACCAGCGTTTTTATTAATGAGCTAGAAGAGAAGCGAAAAGGAAAAAGAATGAGAGTGCATCATACATTGTAAGGATCAGTATTATTTTACGTGAAATTTTTTTTCATGGAAAACGTGAAAAATGTGCGGTGGTGGTGATGGTGTGTGTGTGTGCACTGGGCTGTGATATAAAATACATTTTTATTCTGACTCACAAAGTGTTTGAAAAATAGTAGAGAACAATCTTAGAAAGACACTTATTCGGCCAGTTTCCTGATTATAGGAACATGAGAATCTAGTGGTCATTTGCTTGCATTGTTTATCTATGTATTCAGTATTCGTCCACAAATCATCTACGAGAGTTGCCTTGTCCACTGTGTCATCTTTTTTTTTTTTTTTTAAGATTTTATTTATTTATCTGAGAGAGAGAATGAGAGAGAGCACATGAGAGGGGGGAGGGTCAGAGGGAGAAGCAGACTCCCTGCCGAGCAGGGAGCCCGATGCGAGACTCGATCCCGGGACTCCAGGATCATGACCTGAGCCGAAGGCAGTCGCTTAACCAACTGAGCCACCCAGGCGCCCTCCACTGCGTCATCTTGTTCGGTGTGAGTGGGAAACATCCAGGAGCAAGTGACTGGCTCGGTGTGACCAGAGTCACTAATTGGGCAGCAGGGGCCGGAAGAGGTGTGTGTGACTGGTGCTGCCTAATGCCTGCCCATCTTCAAAGCAGGAACCTTTGCTGAGCTTTTGTGGTTCAAGCAGGGTGAGCAGTGGCCTTGAACTGCTGACCTCTGCAGTCTGTCTGTCTCCACTCACCCTACCAGTTGGCTTAAGTCACTCGGCGCCTGTATATTGATACGGTCGGATTGTTCCCATGGGTTTCTTTTGTCATTGGCAGTCTTGTCTCCTTGGTTAGTTTATGCACGACTCGAGTATATCTTCTGCTGCTTTTGCATCTCCAGAATGCCTTGCACGGTTGGGAACAGAGTAGGCACTCAATAAATGCTTCCTATGTGTTCACAACTATTCATTGCTCTGGTCCCTTCTCGTACTGGGGAGCACATACCATATGGCTTCATGGTTGTGTGTGGTAACAGTCTTCTTCGCTTAGACTGTGAGCCCACTGAGGACAGGGAGTGTATGTATTCTTCTTCTTTTTTTTTAAGATGTATTTATTTATTCTAGAGAGACACTTGAGTGTGAGTCGGGGGTAAGGGCAGGGGGAGAGAATCCCAAGGAGATGCCACACCCAGCGCAGAGCCTGACGTGGGGCTCGATCCCATGACCCTGAGATCACGACCTGAGCCAACACCAAGAGTCGGACGCTCCACCAACTGAGCCACTCATGTGCCCCAGGAGTGTGGGTATCCTACCCATCACTGTATCCTCAGCCCCTAGCATAGCACAGTACCCACCTGCCTTGTTCACTGTGTCCTCGGTGATCTATACTTGCTAGTTGTATCTGTCAGTTATCACATAGCAATGCTGAGTGCCCATAACCTCCGCTATCTCAAAGACCCACCAAATCGGTGTTTGTTAGTGTGGAAGCAGCTCTAAGCTACAGGTTGGTACTGGAGCGGCTCCGTGTGTCTCCTCACCCTCCTTCAACGAGCAGGCCAGCCAGGGAATGTTCCTCTTGTGATGATAGCAGAGGTACAAGAGAGCAAGTTCAGCCGTACAAATGCTTCTCGGGCCTTCGGTTCTGTCATGTGCATTAATATACTTTTGGCCAAAGTTAAGTCAATCAGTCAAGCCCAGAGTCAAGGAGCAGGAAAGCAGGCTCTGCCTAGGGAGGTTTGGGTGGTGAAGAAAAAAGTGAATATTTCTCAATAACCTACCCAAGTAAGTTCTCAGGCTCTTGCTAAATGTTCATGGGATGGCAAGGAAGGGAAGAAATAATTAGATGCCAGAGGTTTCCCATAGGTTTTCGCCATAAAGTTGCAAAAGTCCGTGGGGACTCTTCTACCACAGAGAAAGCTAGAGTTTTGTCTAACAAATAACAGCCCAACCACCCGAAGTTAAGTCTGTGGGGCAAATAAAGCAAGCCCTCAGAAGTGACAACGGCCAGCAGAGACTCCCCCTCTGCTCAGGGACACCCGGGGGTGGCAGTTGCCTCTGGGAGGGAGAATGGGACAATGACCACTGGCTGCTCGAGAGGCATCTCTGATGGGATAGAAGCCAGGCTCGAAGAAATGGTTCTAGTTTGTGTCCTTTGGCATTGTGTGCATGCAGATGAATGCCCACATGTTTGTTAAAATCAGCAGGTCAGGATCTTGAGGAAACCTTTCAAAAGAGCTAGCCCTCGCTTCTAAAAGGAGTTCAGAGCCCTGGTCGCCATGTTGGCTTACCAACCCTGGTATGGTTTGAGGTGGTGCGAGGTTTTGCGCCCCTCCTTTGGATACCTGAAAAATAACAATCTGTTTTCTTTCATTGTCTCTGCCCGCCAACTGCAGGAGTGCTGTGCCTACCAGACAGCCTGAACCTTCACAGGGACCCGCAGCGGTCAAACAAGCCGGGGGACCTGCCCATGTTCAGCCAGTCGGAGTTGAGGACCATCGAGCAGTCCTTGCTGGCCACCCGCGTGGGCAGCATTGCAGAACTGAGTAAGTGGACACTGGTTCTCTGGCCCCTCTCTGTGCCCAAGGTGCAACTCCCCTCAGGACTGTGCTTTGTCACCAGCCAGGTGACAGCTTTTATTGAGCACCTGCCATGTGCACAGAACACTGCCATGGTAGCCATAGGGAGGGCAAGGGCTCTGGAGTCAGGCAGGCCTGGTCAAATTTCCTGCCACTGTCACTGTTGTAGGTCAAGTTCTTAACATTTTCTGAGCCTCAGTTTCCTTTTCTATAAAATAGAGAAAATAATAGTACCTGACTTAAAGTATGGTTGTGGTGATTCAATGAGCTAAGGCCCATAAAGAGAGTTTGCTACAGTGGCTGGCACACGGTAAATGCTCTATAAATGGTGGCTGTTCATGGTTGATTTCCGATGAGATCCATTTAAAGTATATGTCAGATCACATCTTTCCTCTGTTCAGAATCCTCCAGTGGCTTTCCATCTGACCCATAGGAAAAGCTAAAGTCCTCAGAATTGCTTGCAGGCCACTCCACATATCCCTCTTATTCTTCCACTCTCCCCCAAGACTCCCTGAACTCCAGCCACTCTGGCCCCTTGTTTTTCCTTGACTATAGCAGGCATGCCTCAGGACCTTTGCACTTACTATTCCCTCTTCCTCAACCACTCTTCCTCCAGACAGCCACATGACTGACTCCCTCATTACCTTCTAGTCTCACCTAAAATTATAATACCCTTTAGGGGTACCTGGGTGGTTCCCTTGGTTAAGCGTCTGACTCTTGGTTTCAGCTCAGATCATGATCTCATGGATCATAAGATCGAGCCCTGCATCAGGCTCTGCTCTTAGTGGGGAATCTGCTTGAGATTCTCTCCCTCTGCCCCTCCCTGCCAAATAAATCTTAAAAAAAATTATAATACCCCAAAGACCTTTCTCCCCCTAATTTTTTTTGTTTTTTAATAAAAGTTTCACAGAGATATAATTTATAGACAGTTTATCTCCTTAATGTGTGCAGTTCAGCAGTTTTCAGTTATTTACTAGGGTGTGCCATCAACCACCATCAGTTATGGAACACCAATTGTCATCACCCCAACAAGAAACGTGGTAGCTGTTAGCAGTCATTACCCTTCCCCCCTCCACCTAGCCACACTCTGTATTTTACTCTTTTCTTTTTTTTAATTGTTAATCTCTCCCTATGAGAACGTATTCTCACAGAAAGTAGAGATAATTTGCTTTGTTCATTGATGTAACCCTAATGCCAAGAACGCTGCCTGGCACATGGTATGTCCTCAGGAAATGTGAAGAGAAGGGGGAAGGACAGGGAGAGAGAGGAAGAGAGAAAGGAGCAGAAAGGTGGAGACAAGGGAGGAATTGTCAAGAAGGCTGGGTGCCTCGAGTTTGAGCAGTGCTGTGCCATGCTTATGCACCCTCTAATTCAGGGCTGTGCCCTGGGAGTCTGGCCAATCAGAAGAAAATAAAACTGTATTTACTTATGATTCAGTTGATTGTCAAATTGCTTGACGGGTGTTCCTGATGGGACCTGAGCATTGATCTCAGAAATGATGGATTATGTTGAAGTATGAGTTGCTGTGACATTCTAGAAAATTTTGAACCATAAAAAGGAGTCAGGGTCCAGAAGGCAACTTGCGCCTCTTCCCAAAGGAAGTCCCTGTACACACAAGATGTCATCCTCTATTTAGCACAAAAGGAAGTCATAGCTGATTCAAGCTGTGGGGGGGCCCTGTGGTCATTAGGGAGCTACTTTCTGGCACCTGAACTTAGAAATTGCACATCCATCCTCATCAAACCCAGAAGTCACAAGATGCTGCCCATCACAGGGTCTTCCAGCTTCCTGTCAGCTATATAATTATTCTTAAACTTTTGGGTGCCATGGACCCCTTTGACAGTCTGGTGAAGCCTGTGGACCCTGCCTGAGAATAATATTTTTAAATGCATGAAATAAGTGCGTACATTTACAAAGGAAACCAATTATATTAAAATTCAATTACTGAAATATTTTTTATCAAAATTGTGATGTAGTCATTCTGTACTTTTTAGCAGCACATTCTATAACAGGATCTAGCAGCAGCTTTGATGACCCCATTATTTGGAGGTAGTGATATGTGTGAATGATATTTTGAAATATATTCAATAGTTGGAAAGGGATAAGAAAATGTCTGCACTTTAACAGCTCCCCAGGGATTTTGGATATAGAGGGTCCAAGCAGCACCTCGGGGGGAAACATTGCTCTAAGAAGAAATACCACACTGTTTGGGGCCTTCCAAATTTCTAAGACATGCCCATGACCCTGGAAATGCAAAATCTGTCAACAGGATTGGGTCATGTCTGCATGGGCATAAGCTGGGAAGAGCTTCCTTACCAACTCTCCGCTGGGATCTCAGAGGTTTGTCCTGGGATAACCTTAAGGGTCCCTCTTAGAGTCTAGCACCTGGGCTGGGGCCCTGCTTAATTCTGGCACTCTTCAAAGGAAGGATTTGCTAAATAAATCTGTACTTCACCAAAGCAGTCAGATTGCAGCAGCAGCCAGACGAATAAATTGTTCTTGAGGACAATTTGCTCTGTAAATTAGACACTGTCATTCTCATTGAATGTTGACTTTCACATATGAATTGTCGACACACAAATGGGTGCTGCTAATTACAAAGGGGTTTTGTACATTCATTAAATCAGCCCCATGGAAGGTGTGTGCACAAGCACATTGATAAGCTACCTCGGCCACCAGAGGTAATAAAATTGCCTGCTTTTCTGATCTGACTGTAATTTAGAGCGGCTTGCCCTGTGGTCTGAATCAATACGAGCCTTGCTCTCTCTGTGTACATAGAGAGCTGTTCTTCATATTCAAAGATTACTCTATCAGTGTGGCTTGTAGAAAGTACTGTTTTTCTGCAAAGGTGAGCTAGAGCGAGTCTGTTCCCAGACATCCCTGCTCTTCTGGAATCAGGCTGTGCAGGGTCAAGGGCAGAGCCCCTACCCATGGCCTTCTCAGCGGTCAGTAGTGATCCGCAGCGGCTGATGTTACGGAACCAGGGAACTATGACAAATGCGCATGCTATTTCCAGTGTAACCACTGTTGTCCGCGCTGGCAGGAATGAACGCAAGAGGAGGATGAACGACTTGTCTAAGATCCACCGCACCCACGAGCTGCAGGAGTTGGGACTGAGTGCCGTTCTCAAGGTGGAGCTTGAGCTTCCATGCCTCACCTCTAGACTGCCCTCCCTCGGGGAGCAGTTTGGCAGATGTTTCCACATGTTACAGGTGCAGTGAGGGCTATGTTCCTTGCAGCTCTGGGAATCAGTTGCTTGCCCTGTAGGATGCATCGTGGAGGCCCTCCTCTAATCACAATTGGAAGTGCAGAAAGTCACAAAGGATACCACCTAGATGGGTACCACCATAGGGGACAAGACATCTCCCTATAATCCCTGCCTGTATCCTCATCACCCAGGATGTTCACAGCAACTTACCTTTGTCCAGCCTGTTGTGGCTTGGGGTGAAAATACATCCACTCATTCTGGAGCACCTACTGTGTACCAAGTGCCTTCAGTAGATTAAAGGTGTTCCCATTTCACAGATAAGAAGACTGAAATTTGGAAGGAGAGAGGTCTTGCCCAAGGCCAGGCAGCTAGCAAATGGCAGAGTCATAATTCAAACCCAGTTTTGCTTTTTCTGCCTTGCTATGCTGTGTCCCGTTCAGCTTTGTGTTGTGAGCCCTAACACATCACCCCTAGCTTGGGAGATATCTGTCGCCTGTCAGTGAATAAAGAGATGACGCATAGCGAGCTAGTCTCTGAAACAAGATCGGAAGAAAATGCCACCAGTGAGGGGAACTCTTGATGACAGTCCAGTCAAATATTCAATATTCTGTGGAACTGGATTTTGATCTCAGAGACCTGGAACAGAGCCTGTGTATGCCTGAACTATTTGAGTGCTAAGCTCCATTAGGATGCCACAGAGGCCCCCAAACTGACACAGGCTGGCGATTTTTTAAAACTCTGAGCCCTAGAAAATTTACACAGTGATGCGCTGAACTTCACAGTTGACCTAGAGACCGGCAGGCAGTCCCTTCAGGCTCTCCTTCCCTGAACCAGTGACCAGATCTGGGGGAATTGGGTCCACCCAGGCTCTCCCACTGAGGCCATGGGAGAAGCAGAGGCCCAGGCTTTGTTTTCACTTTTGAACCAGCTTGACTCTGCCTCGGGTTCCACTCAATCTCACATTTGTGCCCTCTGAGGTCTTGTCTGAGCTGTTCTGCCTGACGTCCCAGCCTTATGCACAAGCTCCCAATGAAACCCCATCAGACAGTCATTAGTTATAGTGTTTGTTTTCTGTGGCTTAAAGGGGAAAAAATGAGAGCCTCATCGTAAAATGCCCCTTCCTATTCACACTAAACTTTTCACGCTCAACTGTGAACCCCGTTGCTCCCATTCGATGAGGCAGTCAAAATGGGGCCATTAATTTACCACGGTGAGTAAAAAAGTTTCTGGGTTGCCTCTCCTCGGTGTCACCAGAAAGAAAAAAAAACAACTTAGTCCTTATGGACAAGAGGGTCTCTCTCCTTGTTTGGAATGCAGATGGGCTCTTTTCAGAGAGAGTCCTGCCACCTCCAGCCCCTGGGGTGCACCTGTGACCCTCTCCGATGGCAAAGTGGCCACTGACCTCTTGGTATTTTTCGAATATTCTGCTCTACCGCAGAACCTTTGGTCTTGCTGCCCCGACTGCCTGGAAAGCTCTTCCCCTGGTATTCACAAGTCTCCTCTGCTCTACTATCACCTCCTCGGAGAGGCCCTCCTGTGACCACGCCACTCATCCCCTCCCCCACTGCTCTCTATACACTCTTCCTCCTTTTCCTCATAGCACTTATCACCACCTGACATACTCTATGTTTATTTACATACTATCTGTCCACCCCACCAAGACTGTAAACCCATGACAGCTGAGAGGTTGGGTTTTTGGTTTTTTTTTTTTAATATCACTATATCCTCAGGGCCTGGGAGAATGCCCGGCACATGTAGG